AAAATTGTGAGACGCCAAGGAAAATAATAACACACGGGGCTCTGCTGAAATATGGGCGACTGCATATCGACTGCATATCGTACATTTCTAATCACTGGAGACTTTCCCAATATTGGTTCTGAGCGATTACGAGTACATTAGTGTCGGTCAAACCTTCACCTTTATCTCCGTCACTGATAATAATTATATAATAGAACATATCAAATCAAGTGGAACTGAGGCCAAAATTTATCACAAATAACCAGTAATTTGTCGATAATTCTTAAAATACAAGCAAAAAAGGAAATGTGTACGCAATGTAAAATATTAAATTAACTCCACTGAAAGGAGCACATGAATGTTAAGAATAAATGGATCAAATATGATTCTGAAGCTATTATATTTAAAAACATTAGCATTATATTTAACTATAAAAACTTTTATTTGGTTGAAATCTCGATAATTTTCGGGACTGAATCACGTTTCACCTATGGATACGCCGAATATAAGAGAATACATACCATCGTCAGAAAAAAAGAGAAGCTAAAGAGAGACAAAAAACAGAACAATGTCAAGAAATAGAGGAATATCAGAGTCGATATGATAACTTTAATGTCTATCAAAAGATGAAGGAAATAGCTGGAGAGTTCCGAAAACGCAACAGCGGAAAAATAACAGATGATGAACGCAATCGAGCCATAACCAAAGAAATAAAAGAAAGTATGGGAAGAATACTTGGTGAAACTTTTCCACGACCTTGAGAACAATAAAAAAACGCACCATTGAAGAAAACTCACGTCCCGAAATCCGACAAGTCCGTCAGACAAATGAAGGATGGAAAGGCACCGAGACTTAATGAAGTTCCTGCAGAACTGCTGAAGCTATTAGATGTAGAACAAATAATAATAATAACTGAAATATTTAATAAAATATACAAGGCAGCAGAAATACCAGTAGAGTGGCTCAGATCCGAGTTCGTATAGTGCGTGCAAGCACTCCTGACCACGGCGCAGTAGACGAAATTTGGTTTAGTCCCCACTTCCATGCGAAACGCATTGTATTATTCACTGTATAATTCCACTTACAATAAAACCTTTCTGCCTTTACGTGAACTTGACTCCGCCTTCGCGCAGCTCCATGGTCAGGAGTGCTTGAACTATCTTTACCATTGCCCAAAAAACCAGGAACAAAAGTTTGTAAAGATTATAGGACAATAAGCCTAATGAGCCATCTGCTGAAGCTGTTTTTAAAAGTCGTCGACAAAAGAACTTACCGGAACTGCAGTACTTGGGACATACAATAAGAAATCAAGGCAGATATAAGCTACTTCTATACATTTTGCAAGGTAAAATTGAAGGAATAAGGTTCCCAAAATGAAGAAGAATATCCTTGCTTGCTAACATCAGAACATAGTGTTACGATAAATTCTGACCCAAAATCGTAAATATATTTTACTAATATGTTTTTATTCATTCATGAATGTTCTAGGTATACCTACCTGACGAAAATCAGCCGAGCCGCTATAAAAAAACCAGTTCCAGTTCATTCGAGACAATGCAGGTCAACATCCATGGGGTCTCCCCTCGGCTATAATACCAGTATGACGTCACATTCCAGTATTTTCGACAAGGGTCAGGTCAGGTCTAGGCGGTCTTACGGTGCTTTATATAAAGACGAAATTTTATTGAAGAAGTCAGTGAAGAAAGAAGCTCGGGAATCGCGATTTTAAAATGTATCGAACGTAACATAAATTTGTACAGTTATTTAATAAATTAGTAATTAGCTATCGTGAGTTTTAATAAATTAGAATATAGACAATAAATTAGAATAAAGAACTATAAATTAGAACTATATAAATATACTACAATAGTATAGAAAGACCTCAACACAGCTATCTCGTATAGCAACCAACAAAGTCATCATAGCCAGAATGATATGTGCGAATATTTGTGTTACTGTGCTCATGTGTACTACCACTACTTTTGGTTTTACCTATAGGTTAGTTAAATACTTGATTTGCAGCTTAATCTGATAAAAAGTTATCTACAAGAGTGGCGAAAGTGTGTAATGGACACACATGCTGGACATACAAATCATGAAGACGATTTTAATAAGAATACAATTTTGGAACTTAAATCAATGGTTATATAGAAAAGAAGCAAAATTTTAAAATTGTTATTCCGTTCTTTTTAGATGAGAATAATATAATATGTAGGTATGTAATTAATGAGCGTATTTGGTTATCTGTATCTCAATTCAGATTGTTTTTATTAATGCTAATCGAGCAATTTTATTGTTCAAATTGTAACTAACTATTAAATTATATAATGCTATGTTATAATTATATAATGTGTTATCTATTATTTATTTTATTTTATCATGATAACAATAACTTGTAACAATCACTGCTACAAATATTGACTTAAATATTTGTAGAAAGAATACGTATTTAAGTTTATAACAGATTTATTTGGATAAATATTTTTTGATTTATTATTTAAGTTAGAGAATTGGGCAATGAACAAAGATACTAATAATTCAATAAAGATATTTGCAAGTTCAAAAGATCATTTTATTCGATTTGCAGTTGCATTATAGGACAGTTTTTACACTGACTATCATATATAATGTTTTTTTCGTATTGAGATCCAATCCATATTCTTTACTTATATCTGATATGTGCAACTTTATTGTATATGTCCCCCACACCGGAGTCAGAAAGCATCTTTGTCTTACTCCTCTATCTATGGAGATTGCCTCTGTCAATTGGTCATCCACTTTAATGTTGGCAGTTTGGTTCTAACATAATTTATATGTTAGAACCAAACTTTTGTAGTCTATATAAGAGATATATGTATACGTCACATTTGACATCTCCGCCCTCTGCATAAAGCGAAACGCCCACTTCTACATCGAAAAGAGCTTCTCCGAGGTATCGGGGAATACAAATTGTATTGATGACCATAATCTGCTATTTATCACTTTTAAAAACGTTTTAGGTAAGTGCCTCATTAGACTAAGTAGTCTTAGCATGATTTTGCATTTAATTTTTTGTTGTAGTTATAAAAGCTGACTTTAGCCAGCTTTGATTGATTTTCCAGTTACACCTATTTTGTTAAATATAGTTGTTATCCATTTTATTCCCTGTTCATCCATAAGTTTCAGAAATTCTGCACAAAACGTATCAGGCCTTAAAGTTTTACAATGATCAGTTTTTCTAATGGCTGACGTGACTTCTTCGATAGTAATCGTAGGTTCTGTTTGGTATTCCATGTCTTCAATGGTATTCTGCCTTTCATCTACAAAAGTTACTTCCAGATATTTATTCCAAGTTCTAGTCTATCTTCCACTCTTAATAGTGGTTTGCCTTGGTTATCTGCCAAATACCCAAATTTTTTAGGCTTATATAAACCTGTAGCTTCTTTAACTTTTTTGTGCCTTTTGTATAATCGTGTTTATGTTGCAATAGCAATGTTCCAATTTCCGCCAATTGTTCTCTTAGTCGCTTATTCTTTCGCCTCTTTCATGTCAACTTTGAGTTATTTTTCTTGTATGTGAAACTCTATGCAACTTTTAGAAAAAGACGAGGAGTGTTACAACAGAATAAAGGACACAAAAAAACAAAACTGTCCCCTCATTACGTGTCCCAGATATTGTAACTTTCTTATTTTTATTGTGTTTATTATTTCGCATTCTTGCCCACTTTCTCGCAATACTTCCGTGTTAGTTTTCTTCTGTGTTTATGCTATTCTAATTCATCTATTCATCCTCTTGTAACACCAAATTTCTGGTGTACAGACATATGTCAACAAGAACTATAACTTATTTATGTGTTCTTGCTTCAATATCCATCTTTCAAGTCCATATTGCAGTATCGAAAACACGTAGCATCTCAGTGCTCTTACTCTCAGTTCTAATCTAAGGCTTTGTTGCAGAGAATTGTTTTCATTTTTACCAACGCATTTCTTGCTATTTCTATTTTGGCTCTTATTTCGGTTGTTTGATCATTATTGTATGAAATCCAGGTTCCTAGGTATTTGTATTTATCAACCCTTTCTATCGGTACATTTCCCAAATCAGATTTGTTTTCTTTGTTATTATCATGTATTTGGTCTTTTTTATATTCATTTTTAGTCCATATTTTTCACAGAAACTGTTTGTTTTGTTTAGCAGTAATTGGAGTTGTTCAGCAGATAGATCTTCCGATAATTATTATTCCTTCACTTTGAGATAGTAATGCTTCTTCAAAAATGGCTTCACTATATACATTAAATAGTAATGGGGACATAATACATCCCTGCCTAACTCCTCTCCTGATTTCAATTTCTGGACTGGGTTCGTTATCTATTACGATTTGTGCTCTTTGATTTCAGTAGAGGTTTGTTATTATTCGTAATTCCCTATGGTCTATGTTTTTTGTCTTTAGAATTTGGACTAATTTTTCATGTCTTACTTTGTCAAATGCTTTTTCAAAATCAACGTAACAAACATGCACATCAACATTAAACAACTTTGAGCTAACACATTAAAAGCAAATAACGCTTCTCTGGTTCCTAGTCCGTTTCTGAACCCAAATTGACTACTTATCATCTATTCCTTCTTCCAGTTTTTTATTTATACGACCATGTATTATTCTCAAGAATAATTTGGGAAATTGACTTATTAGTGATATTATTTTGTATTCACTGCAATATTTAGCGTTTGTATTTTTAGGGATAGGACAAAAGCGGCATATTAAAAGTTAAAACTGGTTTATGACCACAGTCCTAAAAATTAAGTCAAAAATAATTTTGTCAGAATATAAAACAGTAAAAGAAGACGAAAAATTGTAAATATATGTACTTTAAGTTATTTGTTATGCTCAAAAATTTATTTATCTTAAATAACGCTAACCCGTAATCACATTTTTAAAATAATCTATTTTGGCGTAGTCAATGTCAACTTTTGCGATACGGTTTGCATATTTACAATTAGAAAAATTGACAATAATAAGTTTGAATTATTATTGTTTAAGTACTCACCTTCCAATTATTCCAATCTTTTTATTTGACATTCTTGTTTAATAACAGCACCACTTTCTATTAACCTAATAACTGCCTTGTTGATTTGAGTATCACGACTAAACTGAAACTGAAGTGATAGTAGAAAATAAGTCAATTAAATATCAACTTTAAAAGCAATGGCGTACTTGGTATGTCTTAAACGGGTTAAGTTAATAACATGATTGACTGTTTTTAGTGCGTAATGTTTCCGAAATTATATAGTTCAACTGTTCTACTTTCGGCTGCCAATAATTCGTTGGTATAAAGCAAAGTAAAGCTCACAGTATGTAGAACATTCTTTCACTTGGTCCCAAAATAATACAGACTCACACATAATTTCCAAAATCATGCGAACGGAGCACAAGCACCAAATAATTTAGATTTTACATATGGATATACAATTAAATACGCCTTACTTATAGTTTGAACTGCGGATATTTCACTATTTATTTTAAAAAATCCGCCATAAAATGAACTATTCGTTGCAAGCGTCTAAGACTTAAAATCTTATTTTTTTTAATTACAAAGTCTATGGCTGTTGCTCTCCCTAAACCAGGGATTCCCAAACTTATACACGCTGTTTAGAGGACAGAATTAGCAATACTCAATTTGGGTTTAAGAGTGGCTTGGGTACAAGAGAAGCCTTGTTTAGCATACAAGTGCTAGTACAGAGATGCAGAGATATAAATCAAAATGTGTATATTTGTGCAATCGATTTTGAAAAGGCTTTTGACAAAGTCCGACATAACAAAATGCTAGAAATATTGGAAACAGCTGGATTGGACGATAAAGATCTACGAATAATTACAAATCTATACTGGCATCAAGTGGCAAAAATAAAGGTTGAACAAGAACTGTCGGATGAAATAAATATAAAAAGAGGAGTGAGACAAGGCTGTATATTGCCGCCTTTACTTTTTAACTTATATTCGGAGGAAATATTTAAGGAAGCCGTAATGGAGACAACCGAAGGTATTATTGTGAATGGAGTAACCGTCAACAATATTAGATATGCCGACGATACCTTAGTGCTTGCTAATTGCGGAGAAGACCTTCAAAATCTAATGAACAAAATAAAACAGACTTGTGATCAGTATGGATTAAAACTCAACGTTAAGAAAACTAAATATATGATAGTTAGCAAACAAAATTATATACAGCATGACGGTATAAAAGTCGGAGATGCCACACTGGACAGAGTAGAGAAACTCGTGTATCTCGGCAGTAATATCAATGAGAGCTGGGATCCAACTGCAGAAATTAAAAAGCCGAATAGAACAAGCCCGAGCTGCCTTTGTAAAAACGAGAAACGTACTTTGCAGTCACGATCTTAGTATTGACCTTAGAGTTCGAATGACATCTTGCTACATCTTTCCTGTCCTGTTCTATGGAGTGGAAGCGTGGTCTGAGGCTATCCTTAAATGCTTGACAGCCTTTGAGATGTGGGTATACAGACGACTACTAAAAATAAGCTTGATCGATAGAGTTGGAAATGAGGAGGTCCTTAGACGGTCTGAACCAAATAACACAACTGGTCAATATAATAAAGAAACGCAAGTTGGAATACTTTGATCACATTATGAAACACCCTGAAAAATATGATCTTTTACATCTGATCATTCACGGAAAGATCCAAGGTAATCGTGGTCCAGGTAGAAGAAGAACATTATGGCTGAAAAATCTAAGGCAATAGTATGGAAAATCAACTACATCGTTATTTAGAGCTGCTGTCAATAAAGTCACGATAGCGAATATGGTAGCCAACATGATATCCAATGATCGATAACGGTCATGGAACTAGAAGAAGAAAACGCCTTGGGACTTCACTATTTTTTGCGACGCCCCCTCAACTAAACCCGCAATAATACTTACCAATTTTAATACTAGCCTATTAACAGGTTATAGTTATAACAAAAAACACTGTTTGAACATTTATATATTTTTTATTAGAAATTAAGAACGAAATCAAAACATAGGCACAAAAATAAAAAGGGATATTTGTTTATGTAACTGACTGGTTAATGTGAGGAATGTGCTTGCTTTTTTGAGCATAGCTTATGAAACCGGGGCTCCAGTTTGGAAATTGCCACTCTCATTCCCTTTTCTAAGTTTATGTTTGATCTGTACGTGTTTTTAATTACTGCCGAAGTGTTTTTTAATTACTTCAGAAAAGTCCGTTTCGCACAAGTACGAAGTCGCAAATGGTAATAAAACCTTTAATGCAGCAGTGCTCCAAAACTCAAACAGTTTGTGCTTGTCGTATTGAAGCTTTAGGCTGGAATCACAGGACAATTCTGTCTGTTGTTGTCCATAAAAGCAACTTCTTCTAAAACTTAGTAATTTTATCTACCAATTGCAGGATATGAGTATTGTTTCCCTGCAAAGACTTATTTATTTTGTAATGTAATTTGTTAAATATGTCACAGAGGTATGCTAATTTTATTATAAACTCTGAATTAATAGAGTTTTGCACATCATCATGTGATTCTGTACGTAATACGAATAATTCCTATAGACATGCGAGTATGTTGCCTTTGGACAGCCAACGAAAGTTGCAATAATAAATTAAAGAGGTGTACTCGGCCCCCCTTTCTTCACAAAGTTTATGGAAGTCTTGATTTCACGGGTCGTGTTTCAATGTAGTTGATCACTTTATGCTATCCATCACAACACTTAATTCAGGTGTAACGTTCTTTGCTGCTAAGGCCTCTCTATGTATGACACAATGTGTCTATTTTACTTGCACGAGTTATGAGATGTGATTTTTCCTTGGTAGCTTTGAATCAAAAATTAAACCCAAGAATTTGTGATGATCCCTAAACTCCAGCTGTTTCTCATATATTCTCAGGGTTGGAGTTTGTAGCAGGAGCTTGAAGAGATTAAAACTCTCATTGATTTTTCTATTGAAAATTAAAAACTTCTAAGGTAGGACCAATTTTCGAGATTATCTAAGTTTTGCTTATAGCATATTTTTATATCATTTATTGCTGCTAGAAATAATGTTGGAAGGAGTATGGATCCTTGATATAAAAAAATTATTTTGAACTTCATACGTATGAATGGGGTTTTGTTCAACGAATTCTTTGGATTTAAGAAAGTTGGTGGTATACTGTTGATTCAATGAGTGGCTTTGATAGATTCTCTTAAAATTGTTTGCAATATCACTGTTCGATATTATGAAATTATTATTTTCCTTAAAACCCGTGAAATTGTGTATAGTATGTAAACCAGATATGTTTCTAACTTTATTCTAGACATCAAAAAGAGGGGTATTGCTACTAATTTCCGATACGTACTATTTGACATTTAGCTGTGCTCTTGTTTTTTGCATTTTAAATTTTTTCTTTATTTTCAGTGTTTTATGCTTTTTGTATCGGTTTAGGGATGATCTACTTTTACGAATTGCTGTAGCACAACGTTAATTTCATCTGTTATTTCAAAACTGGAAATATTAATATCGATATATTCGGAAAATTTTTGTCAATTTGCATTTTTTATTCTCCACTTAAATATGGGACCTGATAAGAAAACATTATGGTTTCTAATTGGAAAGGATTGGGAAATGGTCACTACTTGAGCATCTCAACTGAGACAATTGGCTAAATTTGGATCACAGAAAGTTAAATCAATGAGGAATACTCTGTTGAAATATTCAATCTTGTGGTTTGTGGGGGTACCGTCATTAAGAAAATTTATATTAAGTTGATCTAAGATACCGGCAATACTTATGATCTGACCCCAATATTATGTATTAATTTACTTGTATGTCACAAAGAAGGTAAACATTGCAAATAGACAATAAACTGGTAATTGTGATTCTGACAGAGGCAGCCTCCAAAAATCATTAGCTATTGGAATTTGCACCACCTTGATGGCTTTGTTTACTAGTATCGCTATACCACCGCTTGCACGATTTGCATCTGTACGGTGTTTAAGTTTGTCTCCAAATAATATCTGAGGAATATTCAGATAAAAGAAGCTGTAGCAACTGCTCCAACAGTGAAATAATAGGGAGATATGGAGAAGACATTCTGAACGACAATGGTCAAAGATTAATAGATTTTTGCGAGGCACATTCTTTGAAAATATTAAATGGTTTCTTCCCCCATAAGAATATACATAAATTTACATGGACGCAGCCTACCAGGAATTTAAAATCAATAATCGACTATTTCATTCATCGTAAAGATTCTAAACTAAAAACGAAGGACGTGAAGGTGTTTAGAGGGCCAGAATGTAGAAGTGACCACCATATGATTATTGCAAAAGTAATGGTGACATTTAAGAGAGAACAATCAAGTCACAAAAATGATGAAGTAACAGACATAGGAACAACCATAGAAAACATAAAATATAACCTGGAAAGCTTTAAACAAGATTCGACAAAGTTCTTATATAAAATTAGAATAGCTCAGAAAATAAAAAATATAGAAACAAAGGACTTAGACCCCGAAAGTCTGTATGAGGTAATTAAAAAATATATTCATGAAGCGGCAAATGAAGCACTGGGAAAAGTTGAAAATCGGAAAAAAGGAAAACCTGAATGGTTGTCAACGGAACTAGAAGAGAAAGTTCTCAAGAAAAAACAAGCATATCACATATGGCTTCAATCCAAAGATCCTCAAGACAGAGAAATATACGCTAAATGGAATAGAGAAGTTAAAAAAGACGTGGATAAGGCGAAAAATATAAACTGGGAGGCTAAGTGTGATGAACTGGACAGATTTATGGGTGGAACAAAAGTGGCGCAAGCTTGGAAAACATTAAAACAGTTTAGGAAAAATGAGAAAAATGAAGACAACATTTCTCTCATAAAGTTAAATGAATGGGAAGAATATTATACGAAACTGCTGAAAGAGGATAGAGTAGAGTACAGATGGGAAAAGATAAGGGAATTAATAGACAACAGAGACGAAAGACAGGAAATCCCTATAATAACATTATCTGAATTGACGGAAACCTTAAAAGAGGTTAAAAAACGGAAAAGCCGCAGGGCCTGGAGACATTCCCATAGAGCTGGTTAAATATGGGCCGACTGCACTTTTAGAATTAATAGTAGACCTTTTCAATAAATGTATGTGTGGAGACCA